GAACGTTCTTCGGCATCTTCGCAGTCAACTACTGCATTCAAGGCAATTGCTTCATATTCATCAACATCATCATGGTACTCAAAATCTTCGTACTCAGGATGGCTAGCATGTTCATGTTCTTCAGACTCTTCAATCCCTCCTAGCATGCCTACGAAAGAATCTTCTTCATGATGATGCTCCTGCAAGTCCTCATCTCTCCAATCGAAATTGTCTTCCCAATCGGGATAGATGGCATTGTAACCAGCACGAGAGTATTGGCTACCTTTACCTTTACCTTGGTACCCCTTCTGGTACCCCTTGCCTTTGCCTACCTGAGGCTGAATTCCCCGTCCTGTCCAGGATCGGGACCCTTCACGAAGATGGATTCCACTGTAGTTGTCAACCAGGACTCGTGCAGTACCTTCGAAGTCATCGTTCTTGCGACAAGCCTTCACCACGAGGATCTCCTGCCTGGAAATACCTGACATCTCCAGCAATAGCTCTGTGCGGAAAGCTTCTGAGATCATCATTGTGGGGTCAAGCTCAACCAACAAGGTCCACCAACGTCGTCGACGTTGAGTGTACGACAACATGCTCTCTGTAGGCTGTCTCGACAGTGGTCCTCCATGTTTCTGTCCTGCGCGAAAAAGCTCCTTACTCTCCTCCAAGGCTCGAGGAAACACATGGTTACGTATCACCTCGATGAGACGCTCCAGTCCCCCTGGACGTGCAAGTGTCTCTAGACCTAAGTCTCTGGCAAGCAAAAAGGCATCACCTCTCAAACCTTCTACGATCTTGTTCACTAGGACACTGCGATCGATGATACTCGACTTGTCTGACTTAACGGACGAAGCCTTCGGTGATGTTGCATCAACCTTCGACTTGGGAGTACCGGCAGTCTCACGCGGCTCGGGCTCAAACTCCTTGGGATAGTGTCCAGGCGAAGGGAATGCGAATCCTTCGTCTGACTCTGGTGGCCAAGGCTCCCCTTCGTCGGCAGGTCCAGTCACGGGATCCTGCTTCTTTGCTGGTTGCGTTTGGGCTTGGTCGTACAGCTTGATGCGGAGTTCGGTTCGAAATTTCCAATCATGAAATGATGCAGGATCTCCCCAATAGATGTAAGACCCACTCTTAGTTTCCAGGGGGTTGCCTATTCTATCACCAGTGCTACCCGAATGGAACTTGAGTCCAGCAATGGACATGTTCGACGATTCCGACGGAGATTGCTCGGGCGAGCAATCTATTCCGGGCTCTGTCCCCAACGGGATCAGAGGAGGCAAGCGAAAGCACGCAAGGAATGCAAGCTCAGGCTTGGTGTTCTACGATTCCAGTGACCTGGATCAGTACGTGCCGAGTCAGGCCGTCACCTGCTCCGCTACCAATGTCGGTAGCAACCGGAATCGTACTGTCCACACGCTCTTTTCACTGCGAAAGCGAGCACGGTATAGCTCAAGGGCCCTAGGAGCCAAACGGCGGCAGACACAACATAGTGTGACAACCTGGCTCAACAGAATGAGATCCTACCTCAAATTCACAAAGGGCCTTTCTACTAGGATCAAGGACGCTGCTAGTTTTACACCTTAGAAGGGTCATCGACTCAGGCATCATTAAGATGCACAAGCCTGCCAAGAAGGTACTTCTTCACTCACACCCTCCATGTAGCCTTCTATATACACTAAGTTGTGGGAGTCCTAGCAAACATATAGCAATGGCCTCCAACCTCAGAGCGATGGCCTCCAACCTAAGAGCGATGGGCTCCAACATACTAGCAATGGCCTCCAACCTAACATATGCTACAGGTCTACAAACTCTCCTTGGAGCAGCCACTGGAGGTGCTCCAAGATCTTCTCTCGGGTCAGCTTCTCATCGTTCCCCCGATCAGTGACAACACGGATCTCGGAAGAGCTAAAAAGGCCTTCGGACTGAAGCCTTAGTCAGCTCAGCTTAAAGAAGCTTGGACCCAGGTTCGGGTGTAAGATGGGCTTTGTCACTCACTTCGTCAGAACACAAGGGAAAAGGCCTCTAGAAGGAACTTTTTGAGACGCATCTTAAGCAGGTCTTGGACTAGCTTTAAAGCCCAATACTGGAACAGAATTCGCAGAAACCAACCATATCTACATCATTCTACTTCACTGGGCCCCACCTGAAAAAGTCGTCTCTTTATTGGCAAAAGACCAGCTTTGCATGTCGGCAACATCATTCCAAGATCCTCTCAGTTGAAGATCAGCGCTGTAGCAGAACCCTACCAGCAATGCCCGCCGCCGATCTTCGTCCTCACTCCTCCATATCGAGCCCAAATTCCGGCCTTGCAAATTAACTGACGAACGCACCATGACCTTGGAGCCACACAAAAACCTGAGAGGGGAAAACACCAGAATATGCACTTCAAACGCAGAAAACACCAAAGGTACCAATAGGAAACACATCATTGAGGCTCAGGCTTCCTGCGTCCTAGGTCGTAGGTGTTTTAACTTAGTAGCGATGGCAGCGATGGCCTCCAACCTATTAGCAATGCCCTCCACCCTAGCACCCTAGTAGCAATGGCCTCCACCCTAGTAGCTTCCTAAGCTTAGTAGCTACTTACCCTTCACTTCTGACTCTTGCCGCCTACCTCCACCCCCGCCAGGCTAGAGAAAAATGCACGCCTGAATCAAATCCCAGGAACGCCCGCTCGCCGACTCTGACGATTCAGAAGGCTGCCCATTTTGCGGTGCAGATCTCCTGCGTCCACGGAGCGCCAATCGCCCGCTCTCAGCACCGCAAGGAGCGACTGCGTGCAGAGACCTCCTGACAAGCAACTTGGTTAATTTAATAGCTTCTTGTTACTACTAGTAAGGCACTTGTTACTACTAGTAAGGCACTTGTTACTACTAGTAAGGCCCTTGCTCCTAGTAGCGATGCATTTGTTCCTATGGAATCTTGTACAGACTGCCCATGTATTTCCACTTTGTCCTTTGTCGGAGCCCCCCACGAAGGTAGACGCGAAGGAAGAAACGTTCGCCCAGAACCCCGTAGGTGGCGGGGAGGTCTCTTCATCGTCATCCGAGTCGGGTGATTCAGCTGCAATGCAAAGAACCAAGCGCTTCTGGTCGTTGTTCAGACCAAAGCCCAGCAGCCCACAGCTTCGACAAAGGTAGTTCAGCATGGCGGTTGCTTGGCCGATCTCCCATCCGATCTCACACCGGTGGTCACAGTGTAGGCACAAATGACGGCACAACAAGGTTCGCTACTAGTAACATAGGGCCTCGCTACGAACGGAGCAAGGACGCTACGAACGGGGCGCTCCTGGCCTTATTACTAGGAACAAGAAGCTACTAGTATCAAGGAAAATTCAGAATAAAGGACCAATGATTTGGGATCCTCTTGTAGAGACTTGTGAGGGATGACGGGGCCCACTGGACTATCTAAAGCTTTCTGTCACTGTCCGTCTAAGTCTGATGATTCATTAGTTGTGGATGTTCTCTGAATGCCAAAGCATGCATTGGACATCTTTGGACATGTTTTTTTGGCGCTTGGATGAAATCGATGGCTGCAAACCACAGCAGTTTGCATGCAAATACTGGTGATCAAGCGGCAAGACCGTAGTGCGTACGCTACTAGTAACAAAGGGCATTTGTACTAGGAGCAAGGGCGCTACTAGGGGCTCCTGGCATCGCTACTAGGAACAAAAAGCTACTAGGAGCAAAGGGCATCGCTACGAACGGAGCAAAATGGTCTTGCCCAGGTCGAGTGGAGACTTGGAGTTGGATCAGTGCTCTCCGAAGAGACCTGCCTGAATTTTGAGGCCGCCTCTGTGACGGTCCACTCCTACAAGCCTTTCAAACAAAAAGTGGTGCAAAAAAAAGGACTCGTGTGCTTCTTCTCTATGTTCTTCTTATCTTTCTCTTGTGTGTCTTTCTTGGTTTCCTTTCTCATGTTCTTGGACCTTTACCTTAGACCTTCCGTGTATCCACCTTTTCATTCGACGAAGGAAATACATGTTCTTGTCACACAACATCCGGTGACCCACTTCTGCCCATCCCACTTCGCATCCGCACACCTTCTGATCCTGCATCTTGTTTTCTAGCTCTTGACACCTGGGAAGTGCACAGTGGTGCCACAGTGGTGCTTAAATGTGCTTGAGCACTGCTCAAGAGGTCAGCTCATGATCTCCTGATCTCTTTTGGATCTGATTCAATCACATCCAATCTTGAAACCAGTCAACCAAGTGCGCCAGTGTGTTTTCTCAAAAGTTCCCTTTGATCAAAGACTCTCCACCGAAAAAGAGAATCAAACAATGCCGCCACGTGACATGGCAGACTCAGATTCAACCTCGTGGCAACGCCAGCTGGCTCAACTAAGCTCTCTTGACAAGACTGGCCTCTCCCCCCCCCCCCCTCTCTCTCTCTCTCTCTGTCTCTCTCTGTCTCTCTCTCTGTCAGTCAGCCTTTCTCGCCTTTCTCAAGTTCAAATCGACAAAAAACACTACCGTTGGTCCATTATCCTTTCAAAAACCCCTCCGATAGAGACTTGTCGACCTAGTCCTGGTCTCGTGTGTCTCGTCCCAGTCTCGCTGAGACATTTGAGTCTCGCGCAGCATTGGTGGCGGCCACCTGCAAATTCAGTGAGAAACCGTGAGAGAAAACATGTGTTGTTCGCATTCAAAAAGCACTGTACGCATATCGCTACTAGAAGCAAAGGGCAACGCTACTAGGAACAAGGACGCTACGAACGGGGCTCCTGGCATCGCTACGAACGGAGCACCACCTCTTCGCCTTTTGGAACAAAATAGAAACATGTCCCATGCGCCCTATGAGGGTCCCATGAGTTCGTCCAGTGCCGTCCCCACATGTTTCATCCATTTTCGATTCCGGGCTGTGCACATTCTCTTGCTTCGAAACCCATTCGGGTGTACTCAAGGAGCACGGCTATGGACAGTTTGGCCTCTATTTGGGTCAAGTCATTTGCTCCTTTCAGCATTTTGTGCGATCTAGAACTTATAAGCCCAAAATCCAAATTGACCATCTCAGGCGACATGTGTCTCAAGCGAAATGAGGCACTACACTATCATAGAGAATGCCGCACATGCCTCAGCCAATGCGTGAGAACTCTTGTTTCACTATGTTCAAAAATGGAGAAGAAAAAAAAGCACGACAATCAAGACCGTCCTTCTTATTGAATACAGGGGGCAAATAGACCTTTGGTCTTTATAGGGTCCAAAATCAATGACGAGAGGCCACAAACTCGTACCTGAGCAGGATCTCCTTTGCAAGCCGTTCCTGAGCACAGTAAAGCCATTTCAGACAAGTGTTGTTTTTGGAACAATGCATTTTTTACTTGTTTTGCTCCTCCTCTTCTTCAATAACGACGACGACCACCACTACAAACTACAACTACAACTACTGCTACTACTACTGCTACTACTACTACTCCTGCTGCTGCTACTCCTCCTCCTCCTACTCCTCCTACTTACAACTACAACTACAACTCCAACTACAACTACAGCAACAACTACTACTACTACTGCTGCTCCTCCTCCTCCTCCTACTACTACTACTACTGCAACAACAAATGATAGCAAAATCACCACCCCCTTACACCTGCTTGAAGAAAATCAAGGGATGCCACCTGGTATTCCTTCTGCCAAGGATGGCCGAGGCTCCTTTCTCTGGTTGTCGATCCCAACCACACCTGCTCTCGTCTTCCTCCCGCAACAGCCGAATTCGGCCGCCCTGCGGAAGCGAGAAGGGGTGGTTTGCTTTGGGATACTACTAGCTTCTTGTTACTACTAGTGAGGCACCTGTTACTACTAGCGTGGCACCTGTTACTACTAGCTTCTTGTTACTAAAAGCGACTAAAGCTACAGCGATATGAGATGCGAAAGAGCCCCGTTCGTAGCGTCCTTGGTCCTCGTAGCGATGCCAGGAGCCCCTAGTAGCGTCCTTGCTCCTAGTAGTGATGCCAGGAGGCCAAAAATGCTAAACTGCTAAATATTCATCTAAATATAACTCTTCCCTTTGAAGGCCAAAAGTGCTTTGGAGGCCATCGCTATTTGGTTAGGAAAAGTCTTCCGAAAGCTTCCCAACTTCCCAGTCTTTAGGCTCTGACCCGCCTCGCCCCAGTGATGGCCCCACGAGTTCTGGATGAGCCAGAACTTCTCAGAACTCTTCCTCAGTTCTCTTAGCGAAAATGGTCCGCATCTTGGGTATCAGGAACCGAAAGAGAGGCTTGAGGCACAATGTTGTTGAAGTAAACTAAACTAAACGAATATTGAATATTGAAAAACAATAAACTATTCCTGTTCCTTTTCCTAGTTGCGCTCCTTTCCTTGCTCTTTCTTCGGCTTTTGATGCTGAGATTCGGGTCGCGGCCAAATCCGATCAATGTCACCGCATGGTCAATGACCGCATCCTGCCCACTAGCTCCGACTTTGAGGTTCGTTCAGTTCCTTCTGCATTCTGCATCTCATGTAGCAAAGGCTTCTTCATTTCCTTCCATAGTCCCCGGGCTTTCCATAGAGGAAAATGAGACAGGAAGTAAAACAGGAGAGCAAAAGGCTTGAGATAGGATAGGAAACGAGACATCTGGATCGACACGGAAGATCTGCCCCGTCCTGGTCGCAATAATCGAAGACGCCCGCAGAGTACAAGTGCCTGACACAGATCAGGCTAAGCAAAGCTCATCGCATCTGATCTTGCGAAAGACTGTTTGGCTCTTCCGCCAGGAGCCCCTAGTAGCGTCCTTGCTCCTAGTAGCGATGCCAGGAGTCCCTAGTAGCGTCTTGTTCCGAGTCACAAATGAAAAAAGCTCTAAAGGAATCCGCCGACCCCGGCCTATAGCCAAAGCCTAGGCGGGGAGGCGCCTGGGACACCGCAGGGTGAAGCAGTTGGCCAAGTCTTCTAACCCCTCGGCAGTTTGGCCTACTCCTGCACCGCAGCCTTGCCCTCTTC